TTGTCGAATAACAGAAAGTATAATATCGTTATCAATACAGAATACAAATTCAAGGATTTCGCGCATGAAAAGGTCCAGCAGGCTCATCGGACTCGTTAGCAACGTCGAAGGCAATTAATGTACATAGTATTCAAAAGAGTTAACCAGCTTATTTGCAGGCAACTCCGCACGCAGTGTCCTTCTATTTAGTGAAGGTAATTACTAAAATAATTATAACTTTCCTAGAAATCCTAGTTAACTGTTTATTTGCATTTAAAATTTTAAGTTGTATACAAATGCGTTGCATAAAAATGTGCATTCAAACCTAATTGTAATTTAAGCAATAAATATGATATGCAAAATTAATTACTCGAGGTCAAGACATTAATGACAGAAAATAATAATTTAAAAAATGATTAAGCGATTTCAATTAAATAATTCTAGGCATTATCAATGTTTATTGACTATAAGATTTGATATAACGCAATGTATTGTTATAAGTCATTATTTTATGTTTTAAAGGCTTAAATGGATAGATTATTGTGAAATTTTATTTAAAAAAAATTGTTTAAATTGATTGAATATATCAAAAACAAAATAGAAAGTAGGGTAAATTTGTATGATTTCTGTTTAAATTTTAAACATTAATAAGAATAATAATATGCAAATATTTTGTATTTACAACAATACATTAATGTTTGCATTAATGTATTACCTTTCAAAGTAATTATTAAATATTGACAGTTTCCTTCTTAATAGGTGAAAATATAAGTCGTGGTACATGGGGTGTATTGTCCACTTTTTTTTACTTGGTGGTGATAGTTCAATAGCACTATTGTCTCTAAGTAAGTCAATCGAATGATAAAAACTTTTTGAATAATTTAATTGTTAAACTATTTTTTACATAATTTTTATTAAATAAAAATTTTTCTCTTAAATTCTTTTAAAGAGACAATAAGTAGTTTAAAAACTATACCCTTGATAATGCATACTATTTTTTATTATATTATTAATAATTATTGATAATATATTAAAATATAGTTTATAGGATTGATTATAATTTTATTGATTTATTATAATGAATAAAAAATTATCTTATCATTAACTTTGGAAACTATCTAGTTCAATTTATGGAAAGTTCAAAATAAAACTTTTCAAGCACAATAACTTCTATTAAATTAAAAATTGAAATTTAGAAGTATACAGGGTGATTTTTTTATCATAACCCACTCAATTACTTACAGAATAATAATAAATAAAACATTTTTTTTTTCGATTATCTTTAGTTACACATCATTCTTGAATTATTAACTATGTAATACTTTTTAAGTTCATCCCTTATGCCTGGTAAGGGTGTCAACTTTGTTTTTTTAAATGGGAACACATATTTTGAACTTAATAAAATGTTTGAGTTTTTAATTTAATAGTAAATGGCATTTGAATTTTTAATAAAACTTAATTTGTTTATTAGATATAAACATTTAAAGTTTCAAATTTTTGAGTTAATATACAGGTATAATACACAAGGGATTACAAATACAGGTAGCTAATTGGTTTTTTATGA